AGTTGAGATCAAGAGGAAGCTATAATCCTCAAGCGCGCTCAGCATCATCGTTATTTTCCCCGTTGGTGTTTGGACGAACTGCGGCTCCCTTGGGCAAGGGACTCTGGGGAATATCAACAGTTCCACTTAAATCCCACGAGGCAGACCACGAGCGGCTATATAGATACAAGACTAAGTGCGCCTGTCCCAAAGTCAGGTTAAATCTGATTATGTCGAAACGTCGTCCCGCTGCCAAGCAACCGTATGCCGGCAGGTGTACGCGAGCGCGAGTCAACCGGTCGACGATCATTCGATTAGCGAACAACTCGAGCGACCTATGAACGCGAGTGGCCGAGCCCGCGAGAACAGCGGACGTGATCGTGAATGGGGAAGATCAGCGGACAAGCGTGGGCCGATAATCTCCGGCCTGCGGCCTATTTTCAGAGTCGTTCAATCAGGTGGAGGAGTGACGTAACGCGCGTTGAAATGGGGAAGGTCGATCCGCTGTCGCGGCACACTCTGACACGCACCATCCACCACTAGCGGTGCAGATAGGAGGTGTATCACACCCCAAAGCGTATCACAAAAGGGTTAACACACACGAGAGCTAGCGCGCTTGCGACTAGGCGGCGACGGTGGCGGCGGCGGCGGTGCGTTGCGTTGCGTTGCGGCGTGGCGTCGCGTCGCGTCGCGAATATAGTGGAGGCGGTGATACGCTCGCGAGAGGTCAGGTCAGACCTGACTACACCACCGGCTGTTTACGGATCGCGCGCGGCCGCGGCCACGGCAGCGGCGCGTCGCAACGCGAGCACCTCTTCCGCGACTCCTCTTGGCGCGCGCGGTCCGCGGCCTCGGCGGCTGCGGCGGCGGAGCAGGCGGTGGAGGCGGTGGCGGCGGCGGCGGCGGCGGCGGCGGCGGCAGTGGCGGTCGCGATCGCGAGCTGCGCCGAGCGAAACACGTCTTCACACGTCGTCACCGGGTTGCGTGAACGGCGAGAGCGACCCTACGCTACCGCACCACGTGGTTCACGGCGCGATCGGCGAGATGCGTCCGCAAACCCTTCCACGCGAAACCTGTGTGTGAGTACAAAGGGGTGCGGAACGCGTCGCTCGCGATCTACGTTCTGCGGCATACTAGCTCTCCTGCCCTGACGCCCGCCGCCCACCCCCC